CATACATACAAACATACATAAATACGTACATACAATACATTATAATCCGTTCTATGTAATATAAATGAACCTAATTCTTCTCGATATCGTCTCTTCATTCTTAAACATAAGAAAATATTCAATTAAACATAAATGAAATGAGCTCGCAGGCTGTGTGTACATATACACCCTAAATAGAACTAAATAAAACAAATATACACACACATATGTAAATATACAGGGTGATTAATTTGGATCTATTCATTTTTTGTTGATCTCCTTAAATTAATACAATTATTTTGTGGCAATGATTAGTTTAGGAGATATTTTAATTAAAAGAATATAATTGTTAGAGAGAATGTGTGAAAGATAGAAAGTATAATTATTGAAACACAAAATATCTTTTAAATTAATCTTAAGTATATATATTTCGAGAGATGTACATTTATTAATACTTTTTTTTTTATAGAAATAATCGAGATTCATCAAACACACGTACGGTACCAGTTGTTTTTGGGGGTCTTTGTTAACTCATAAAGTGGATTCCCCTATATATTAAGAAAAACACCCTGTATATTAAATATATATATATATATATATATAGGCAAAACGTATGCATTTAAATAAACTATATATCGCGAATCCTCAACATTGGCGTTAATGACGAAAAAATATGTTGAAAAAAGATGAAGGGAAAAGGAATAAGAGTAGGAGGTGGAGGAGGAGGAGGAAAGAAACATCACAGTGTGTGTGTATGTGTGAAAATTATTTACAATTGTTTAACGAGTCTTCATTTAAAACGCGACTTATATATATATATATATATATATATATATATTTAATATACAGGGTGTTTTTCTTAATATATAGGGGAATCCACTTTATGAGTTAACAAAGACCCCCAAAAACAACTGGTACCGTACGTGTGTTTGATGAATCTCGATTATTTCTATAAAAAAAAAAGTATTAATAAATGTACATCTCTCGAAATATATATACTTAAGATTAATTTAAAAGATATTTTGTGTTTCAATAATTATACTTTCTATCTTTCACACATTCTCTCTAACAATTATATTCTTTTAATTAAAATATCTCCTAAACTAATCATTGCCACAAAATAATTGTATTAATTTAAGGAGATCAACAAAAAATGAATAGATCCAAATTAATCACCCTGTATATTTACATATGTGTGTGTATATTTGTTTTATTTAGTTCTATTTAGGGTGTATATGTACACACAGCCTGCGAGCTCATTTCATTTATGTTTAATTGAATATTTTCTTATGTTTAAGAATGAAGAGACGATATCGAGAAGAATTAGGTTCATTTATATTACATAGAACGGATTATAATGTATTGTATGTACGTATTTATGTATGTTTGTATGTATGTATATGTGTATTTTACATGTAAGCGTCGTATTTCATTTTATTACATATGTATTACACTGTTGTTGTTGTTGTTGTTGTTGTAGTTGTAGTTGTTTGCTGCTGCTGTTGCATCGATTATCCTAAATTCCACTTAATGAATTGTTTCGTTTTCATTCATTTGATAATTATTAGTCAATGTGTATTACAAAGTATAGCATATTACTTTCAAAAAACAATTGACAACCACCATTACGGGAAAACACGTTTATTAAATACGTGTCTTTAATATCTATTAAGTAATTTATTTATTTAGTTTTTTATTTAGTTATTTATTTAATTAATTAATTAATTATTTATTTCACTAGTCGTCGCAGAAAATTTTCTTTTCCCTTTTTTTTTTTTTTTTCATTTTTTATTTAATTACTTTTATTGCAAAACGAACAGCAAGGAAAATGTGTATTTGTTTGTGTCTATGTATGTATATATGTATGTACGTGTATAGAAAGTTAAAATGTTTTTTTAAGGAAGCTGCGAATGATCAATAGAATTTATTTGACTTTTCTCGATCATTCTGATTCAGGTTTTTCAATCGAGACATTGGGTTACCTTTTTTTTTCCTTTTTTTTTCTTTTCTTTGTGTAGTTTAAAATTTAAAGATAAAACAATTAAAAAGAAAATTATTCAGTCACGTTAACAACAATAAATCACTTGGTAATGTATATATATATATATAATTATCTCTCTGTATATGCAACTCATTTTAATAATATACATATAATAATAATAATATGTGTATGTATATACATATATATATATATATTTTTTGTTTTAATTTATATACATATATTCATATACGTACGAATGTGCGCACGCGCGTCCAATAAAAAGAGAAAAAATTACTATCCTCGTATTATCATTAATTCCTCGGCGTTTTTTTAATAAAAAATATTAAAAAGTAAAAAAAAAAATTAAACAAAAAGATAAACAACACAACAACGGAAACAAAGTTTCTCTCTCTCCCTCTCTTTATTTCTTTCTTTCTTTTTTTTTTCTCTTTCTCTCTTTCACGTGTATATGTGTGTATGTATATATTTATATATATATCTTTATGCGTCTTCTTTAAGTACTCCTCTTTTTTTTTTTTATTATTATTTTAATATATGTGATTTTATTTTGTCGAAGGAGTTGAAATTGTAAAATTGAGAGCAACGTTTACTACTAAAGCCTGTTTGATCGATCCTATCTTCGAATTAATTAATTCATTCATTCATTCATTCATTTATTAGTTCGTTCACTCATTTTATACATTTATGTAACATGTATCTCGATTCTTATATCATTCATATTTAGAATATCATACATGTATTGTATTGTTTGTAATATTTTTAAAACATTCATTTATTCTCGTAGTTTTCTTTATATATTTATATACATATTACATATATTAATTCATATATTTCATAGATATACATAGATGTATATTAAACGAACGAATGAACGAACGAATGAACGAATGAATAAATGAATGAATTGCTTAATTAATAATAAATTCATTCTTTTTTTTTTTCAGACAATGATTAAACATCACTAGTAATCGCATACGATAAAAGCATGTATAAATCAGTAAAGGTATTATTTTCTTTTGTGCTTTTTTTTTTTTGTTTTTAGAGATCATCTCATACATGATACACACAATGTGTGTGTGTGTGTGTGTGTACAAAGTAGTATAAAATAAAAAAAGGATTAATAAAGAGATATTATCATTATCATTATCATTATTATTTTACTTTTTTATTATTATTTTATTATTTATTATTATTAATATTATTAATTTTTTTT